GTGTTGCTTGATATTCAGGTTTCCAGCACCACTTTGTGGCATGTCGTGTGGCGACAAGCCCATCATAGCAGCGTCAGCATCAGCAGGAGGAGTAGTAGTAGTAGTAGTCGTCGTAGTCGTAGTAGTAGTAGTCGTCGTGGTGGTGGTGGTGGTGGTAGTAGTAGCAGCAGTAGGAGCAGGAGGAGCAGCACCAGCAGCAGGAGCAGGACTAGTAGCAAGAGCAGTACGTAATGAAGCAGCAGGAGGGTTTCTGGGTAGCTAGAGCTGTTTAGGGAGGCTTACGTGGGTGGCTTTGCTTTAGGACAATTTTAGGACGGTTTAGGAGCGTCTATATTATATAAATCATACATTATTTTCCTTTTTGAGGGGGGGAAGTCGATAGACAGATCCGTAGAAAATGCGGTGGATCGGCAAAGCCACCGCGACTGGTACGCTTGGTTGCGTAGCATCTATACGGAGCTCACACTCCAGCATGGACACGGATCCCTAAATCCGCCAACTCCAACATTCCCCAAAAATCGTAGAAAGCCGTGAGCCGTAAACCCCAAGGCCACGCTGGTATCCTCCGATCAATCTCTCCGTCGCCTGACTGCCGAGACAGCCGAGCGCAGGGAGGTCTTTTGGGGGGCGCGGGGCTGTGAGGTTGAGGGCTTTAGGCCGTACGTAGTAACTGAATAGTGAATAGTGCACGAGAACTGCAAGTCGAGCGAAAGGAAGCACAGTACTAGGTCCCGAGTTTTCGCCGCAAGCGAGCAAATTCAAACCCATAGTCAGCCAGGCATGAGGGATGCCCATCGAGATGCAGGCTGCCAGTACAAGAGGTGAAGGTCTACACTGGTTGCCTTCATTCGTCGTGCAACAATCAGGCTTGCTATCGAAGCCCAGACAGAAGCAACAAGCAACATTCATTGATCTACTTTGGTTTCTGTCGTCATGTTTCGCAAGCAGAATTGTCCGGCATTTTCGTTCGTGTCCGGCATTTTCTTTCGTATGTCTCGGTCCTAATTGATTGATGTTTTTGAACACATCTTTTGCCGATTGCGACATACACGGAAGTATAGATCTCTGTCCATTTAGTGCTTGGTTGGGTGCTGGTGCTAATATGTGCTAACCCAACGGAGGTGCTGCAGGCAGAGATCGCGCAGCTACGGAGTAAGTTTGCGGAGTCCGTCGAGTCCGGCACCATTCCGAGGTGCCATGGTCGCATGTAGGGTCCGAAGGCTGTCATGTCCACTGCTCTGTAAGCCTGGTTCTTGGATTCGCTTCTGAAGACATGCTCCAGAAACTTTTGTACTTTCATCTAACACAAGCGTAGATTGACATTTCCTGGACTGGTTGACTTCAAAGTCTTCAGCCGTTGGATTTCAGGGGCCCTGGATGAACCGACACGCATTAAAGGTCCGAGAAGTCAAACGAACTGTTTTTGGGTCGATTTCTCACAGCAGGGTGGCTGAGCCGTTTTTTGGGCAGCGAGAGTACCTTCGTTACTGGCCTTGGCTCAAGAATTGTCAGTGACCATGCCTGACATCATCGACATAATGTTTGGGAGGTGACGATTGCCATGTCGATTGAGGGTGGGCAGCTTTACGTGAAAATTCGCCAGCCGTACTCTGTTCTCCGAAAACGTGTGACTGTGACACTATTGTGTTCTGATGTTCCGAGTTGTGTAACGGGATTACATCCGTGGTTTCGGGAGTACATCTTCGAGGAAGAACCGCGCCCTTTCTGCAGTCCCATTGGCAGAGAAAGCATGCTCCCCGCACAGCCCCGTGGTCCGTGGTCATTTTGGCCTTCAAATCACCCGAAGTCGACAAAGTCCTGGCAGGGCCATGCTGTTCGAGTACTAAGCCAAGCAGTTTCGGAATTTCCAAATCTCGCAATCGTGCCCCCTCCGTAATAATCGATTCCAGCCGCAGTCCTGCACAGCAATCGTGCACCCGCCGCAGTCTGGCCCGCATCTTGCACTGCATGCTGGCATAATGTCTTCTCAAACACTAAGATACCAAAAAGATTATGCAAAGGACGTCCCTGTGATCAACCCCCACCCGCTCGCCCACTGCCTCAATTCCCTAGACCCCAAGGCTTGAGCCGCATCAACATTAAGTTGGTCTTCTCAGGGAGCCGGCCCGGGAGCCATCGACGGGCGCCAGATCTTCCCAAGAGGAGCTTCTTGAGGCGGTGGTTGCGGAGCAAAAGAAGACCAAGGAGGCGCGTCGTGACGTAGCTGGTACTTGATATCGGTTGGCGTTCAGGGGGTCTTTCCGACCGGCAGGACGTGGGAGGATCTGGGGCTTTAAGTTCCGAACCTTTGTGACGACGGGTAAAAAAAGGTACTGCAGCAGGTTTGGGTTTACTACTTTAAGCAGAAAGTTGCCATGTGGACGGCCGTAACAGAATAGGACGTCTTTGTTGCATTTTCCCTCCCTCACTCCCTCGCTCCGTCCCTCTGTTCAGAGCCTTTCATAATTCGTGATCTGCCGTCCAGATATCAAAAGCAGAACCGTCCACTGACAACTCGCCGGAAGCTCCTGGAGTTCGTGCCCGTGCCACTCGAGCGAAGTGTAAAACATCTCAGATGCCGGAAGGCCATGGCTCTGAATGTGCAGTTGCTGCGGGCGGAGCTGCTGCAGGAGCAGCAGGCAGGAGAGCACGGCCCAGCTTGTGTAGGCTTGAGTGCATACAGAACTGTGGAATCGAAGCGCAAAGTCCAGCGAGAGTGAGGTGCAGGCGCAGAGGGACGAGGAGACCCAGGAGGCGAACATGAGACTTAGTCAAATGAAGCATTTTGGATGGTCTAGCTTTGGTCAAGGGTTCACAATCTGGGATCCAAGTCTCTCTCCTTGGCATTCGCGACATACCGCAATGTGCACTGTCCCAGGCCTTTGCCCCGAGACCCACCGTAAAACAGCCACGGGCATAATTGGTTGAATCAAGCCGTCTGCCATGCAGGTCTCGAGATTGGAAGAAATGGCTTCACACTTGACCCTCGTCCCTTCGTGACGTTGTTTTTGTACGTGATGGGGCTCGGGCCAAACACTCTCCCGGAGTCTGCCAGTTGTTACATACTCCTACTGGCGGTGTTGATTACAATTTTGTAGCCCGCCAAGGACCGATGAGTGTGACGTCCTCTGGCGCAGCGTGACTTTGGAGAAGAGGCGCTCTGCGGAGGCGGCGGCCCAAAGTTGTGAGGCCCGGAACGTCTCATGCTGCCAACGTCCCTGTTACAAGATGCGAGTCTCAAGCCCGGTTCCCTGCTCCTTCTGTTCGCTTGCTTCCTGCTTCTTCTTCTTCGCTTTTCGATATGCTCCTGTTTCCCACTCTTTCTTTGGCTTCTACCGTTACTGCTACTAGTCGCTGCTGTGGGCTCTCAGATTTCTTTCTTCGAGTTTCTCGTCTGTTGCGTTTTCTTTCCCACGTGCTGAGAATAGATAGGTCCCTGATCCGAAGCGCAGGCTTGTGCATAGGCGAGAGTCACTACTGTAACGTCCACATGCTCTTTAAAAGGATCTGCATGGAGACTCACGCTGTCAGCAGGACATGTTTAGAGGCCATCTCCTGCAGCCCCAGGCCATCCTGGAGATGCAAGCACAGCTCCGGCAGCGAGTTAGCGACACCTTGCCACACGTTGCCGGAGACAGACATGAAGTTTCATGAGAGCTGAGATCTCTCCGCCCCTGTCTCTTCTTCAATGGCTCCAGGCTGCTGGGGAACATGACTCGAGATCACCGTTGCGGACAGCCCATGGACAAGTCGGTCGCCGAAGTGAAGGTGGATCATAGCTGTCAAGGTGGCATTCGTTTGACTTCATGTGCGCGCAGACGCTGAGCAAGTCCAGGCAGCCCGCTCCAACATCGTCTTTGAAGGTGGCATATGGCCTTTGGACGTATTTGGCAATCCTTGGCATCAGGCAGCGAGAACTGCCTGCGGACACTGGACGAGCTGGCTCGATGTTGAAAGATGGTCTGGAAGGTCTTTCCTATGGGGCCAGAGTTTTCCCGCCCTCGTTACGGGCGCGGCTGCCGCATTGAGTGTAGCTTGGTGGGAAAATCCCTTTCTACAGTGTCCTGCTCAGCGACCACAGCTGATCTGTCTCGGAGGCGATAAGTCGCAGTTGTTGATTGATGTGCTTCTGTCCTTTGCACTGTTTCAGCAGCTTGCTGGTCTGGTCAGAGAAAAGTGGCGGCCTGCTGCAGCCTGGTGTTCGGCAAGTAGTATAGTGCAGCGTGGCAGCTCTTGCCATGACAGCCTCTTCAAGCGGCTTCATCGTCCCCTCTGCCACTTCGGGTTCAAACAGCTTCTCTGGGGAGAAGCCTCTTGGCGAGGGCAGGCTTTGGCAACCCCGCCGACTCAACATCCGCTCAAAGGCACAGCTGCGTTTGCACCCTGCCCCGATTGACATGTGTGCAAAGACCGCAACACGAGCCGTCGTGCATGCGAGCACGAAGACTTTGAAGCCAAGCCGGGCAAGAAGTTGAAGCGGTGCAGCACAATTAGTTCACGTGCCCAAGGTTGCCCCCCCCCCCCGCTTGGTTTGTGGGTTATATGGATGGAAGGGATGGTTTTGTGGAAACGTTACATACTACGTAAGGGCTCAGATTCCGCGCACTCTTGTGCTGACGCTTCGGATGGCTGCACCGCTGACATTCCAGTATCCATGTTGTCGGCTTCGGATTCGTCCCTGAAGATTGTGACCCAGTGGAAGATGCAAGATGATCACCGCCAATGCCATCTTCATCAGCATCAGAGCCACTATCGCCATCATCACCATCATCAAAACCACCATCAGCAGCAGCAGCAGCAGCAGAGAAGTGGCAGCATGTGGCAGCAGTTCCAGCAACATCGTCTGTGTCACCACCACCGTCATCACCGTCATCATCCACATTCTGATCGTCATCATCACCCATTCCATGACCATCATCATCATCATCATCATCATCATCGTCGTCGTCATCATGATCATCAACATCGCCATCATGATCATTCGATAACAGTGACACCTCATGATTATTCTAGCGAGTGCTGCCCTATGACATGGAGGTCCCGAGATTCACTGCTACACTGGTCTGCCCAGGGCTACGTCGGGCCTTACTCTCACAGGGTTCCTCTAGCAACGCTGGCACAGGCTAGTGCATGATGGTCGTCTTTTTGCAGATTTTGGCTCTGCAACTCCGTCCTCGTAGTTTGATTGCCATGGCGCCTCGTACCCTAGCACTTGCCTTGCCCGCTGCCGGCCTTGCAAATGCCCCAGCATGTCCCAGCGATCTTGCAAGCAACACCAGAAACTTGTCCTGCGGTGGAATCTGCAGTGCTGCTGCGTGAGTTTCTCAGGTGGCCGCGCCACTTTTCGTGCCCGGAGCTCCCAGCACTCAGGGCACCCAGGCACCCCGCACAGCCGCGCACGCAGCTGCGCAGACACCCAGCAGCGGCCTTTCGGCAGCTACGGTTGGCAGCGTCGCCAGTGCAGGCACGGGGCTGT